TCCGGTCCCCGGTTAGTAATTGTGCGGTTTTGGTTGCCAATTAGTGGGCCGGCCCGGGCAGCCGGGCTCCACGCTCTGCCTCCAGTGGCCTTCCCTTCCGCCCCGAGGCGCCGGGGGCGAGCGAGGGCGCGCCCGGCGAGCGCCAGGTCAGGGCGGGTGAGGGCGATGGTCGCAGCCCCTTGTCGACCCGGGACGGCAACGCGCCGCGCACCGCCGCCTCACCGTACCCGCCACCCGCCAACCGCCCGGGCTGGGCGTTCTCAAAAGCGACCCGGCTCCCCGCACGCTAGTGCTAGTCTGGGCTTTCAGGAGGATGGAGTGCCCTGGGCGAAGTTTACTGTGTGATGTTTGGGGATGTGGCGTGGCACGGCGTGGCGTAGCGCAGTAGCGGTCTCCACCCCAAAAGGGGATCTTGACAGCGATAATACGATACTCTATCGGGCTAGCGACCGCCAACCGGGGCGGGGCAGAGGCCGTGCGTGGCGGGCGTGGCGGCGGGGTGGTAGCGGCGCGCGAGCCGGGTTACTCCGTATCGTATCGAGGTATAAAGATCCACCGTCTCATCATCGGCGTGCTCTCCTCTCTCCCGCGAAGAGCACCACAAGGGCCTCGCAGCCGCTGCAAATGATTTATTTGGACCAACAGCCGCGGCTGGTGGCGCCGCGTCGGGCCGCGCCGAGGTGAGCGGTGAGCCGCGTCGGGGGTTTATCAGGGTTAGGCACCGTGAACGCGCTGACTGGCGCCGCTGCTGCGAGAGCCCGAGGGCGTGGCGCAGCGTGGCGCGGCGTGGCACTCGCCATTGTCTCAGTATTTGGGCGTTCTAATTGGCCGCTCCGCTCAGCTCCGCTCGGTGGCCTAGCCGGGCCGGACGGAGCCCTCGCCTCGCTGACACACTTTGACGACCCTGACGGGGATCAGCCCGGGCTCAGCCGCTGCGCTGCGCTCAGCTGGCTCAGCTGATGAAAGGTTCCGAGGTATCACTGCTGCGCCCAGTCGTTTGGCCCGGGCTCCATTACAGTCACATGCACAGCACAACGGCGCAGCGGCGCGCGCCCTTCACCGCCGCCTCGCCTCGCCGCTTCGCCTTTCCCACTTGCAGTGGTGGCGGCCCGGCCGGGGTTATACGGCGACTTGGTGCGAGTGCGAGAGAGACAGACGATGCTCTCCGTCTCTCTCGCTCCTCCACCCCGTGCGCTGCCCACTAGAGAGGCGCCCCGCCCGCCGCCGCTGTCCCGCCGAGGCAAGTCATGTTGCTAGATGGTCGCCGGGGCCGCGGGGCCGGGCGGGGCCGGGACGGACGACAAGCCGAGCGGAGCAAGAGGTCCTGCGCGCAGCCGTTTTGGTTGGGCGACAGCGACGCCACGCCAACCGGCCACGACGATGTTGTAATTTTGCGAAAAAAGAAAATGAATCGTGAAACGCCTCGAGGAAAACTATATGACTCCGGCACAGAGCAGGGGACAGGGGCGGACCGACGCCCAGCCGCAATAACGCACACGTGAGCTCCACCCTGTGTTGCCTCACGCTAGACAGGTCACCGCGAGAGATGCCCCCGCCCGCTCTCTCGCTCTCTCTCTCTCTCTCTCTCTCTCTCTCTCTCTCTCTCTCTCTCTCTCTC